AATCTACCAGAATGAATTATCCAAATTTACATAAAGTAACAGATAGCCATAATAAAATTCACCCCTCGACCTTATCATTTTATAAACCGCACCCCGTGTATAATCCGTTTGAGACCCCTGAGTTAGGATGTAGTTAAGGAAGATCATATTGACGCAAACGCCGCCGCATCAGTGGGAGCAGCAGGAGCCAGAACATGTAAAGACTGTGGATAATTAATGGGAGCTGTTCGGTCCAGCGTGAGTGGATCTAGAGGGAGATTTGAGGAAGCAGAAACACAGAGCACCATTAAGACAGTGCATACTAAGTGCCAATATCTCAGAGAACAAAGCAGAGAGAAAAGGGCACCGTGGTTTGTACATTGAGCTTAGGTGTGACATTTCAGGATGCCCCAATAGCCTCTGACAGTTTTATAAATGTAGGATAAGTGCGGTAATTGATTTTGACGAGCCTATTGGTTGGTCTATCATGACACGATATCTACATTGAGTAAAAGACACCGCAAGGCCACGTCAAACACATGTAATTATTATTTGAAAAGAAATAGGGGCTTATGCTGGAACCAAGGGATTCCAGGATTTCTATTCAAACATTTATTTTCCTGTTTCAATAAATGTTGATAAGATTATCTCTCCCTGCTGTCTGTGTCCCAGTCTGTATTCTACTGTCTTTTACTACAGGTTTTAGCTTCACTGAAAATCCAGTTAACATCGACTGATAAAATCTGATGAACAACAAACTATTTCATCAACAAATGCATATCAGCTACATTTAAGAAACATTTATTCATTCATTGATTGATTGTATAAAAAAGTCGCACATCTAGCCATTTTCTACTCCTTAATACATTTCTGGGTTGGGGTTGGTGGTGGGTTGGTGGCACAAAGTTGACATGACACCCTCACTGATCCTCCTACAGCTGGTGAGTCCACAGGAGGATGGCTGCTCTGACTTGATCTTTCAGCGAGGGCATCAGGCAAAGCAGGATAAAGTGTCTTGCCCAAGGACACAATGACAGACATCAGTTGGAATTGGTGGAGAAGGTCTTGTGATGGGCTCGAACACCAGACCTTTCGGCTCATAGGACAATTCTCTACCAACTGAGCCACTAAGCCAATTCAATTAAAATGTATCACAGATTAAATGTGTTTGACAATTTACATCTTCTGACCCACATTAATTGTTGGACATTTTTAAACAATAATTATAACATTTGGTTTTTATGTATGTATAGTCTTGTTTGTTTTTTTATTTTATAAACATTTTATTTGTACTCACTTGCCCAGCCTCCAGGTCCTATATTCACATTCTCCACATTATGGCCAAAATAATGGTCAAAATAATGGCCAAAATAATGGACATCTCTGGCTTGGTGAGTAAACTTTCAAGCATCGTTGCACATAAATAAAACGTTGAGTCCTGGATCTACAGCCTGAGTCCTGGATCTACAGCTTCAGTCCTGGATCTACAGCCTCAGTCCTCGTTCTACAGCCTGAGTCCTGGGTCCACAGCCTGAGTCCTGGATCTACAGCCTGAGTCCTGGATCTACAGCTTCTTCTTCTTCTTTATTGTTTATTGAAACAGGGACAGTGTACAAAACCATTAGTCTTTACAAAAGAGGAGATGATTTGTACCAGATTTAGCAAAGTAGCAATTTTCCATCTGCAGTCCCTGGAGTGCAGCCTGAGTCCTGGATCTACAGCCTCAGTCCTGGATCTACAGCCTCAGTCCTGGATCCACAGCCTGAGTCCTGCTTCTACAGCCTGCTCCCCGGTCCGTCCGTGGGAGCAAATCCCTCTCTCAGGGTTTCTCACGTCTTTAGTTGTTTCTTGCCAATGCAGGAAGGTCTATATAAAGAGAGTAAGGTTTTCCGGGCATTTAAGCACATATATTTAGGAGCCTGTCAAACCAATCGCTTGGTTTGACAGGCTCGTTTGTTATTATTGCATGTCTGTATTTGAACCGTTTGTTGTAGGACCATACTCCAGTTGACACGTTACAGAAACCTTCATGACATTGAGGGAATATTGGAATCTAAATTGAAAGCATCAGATTTATAAAATGCTAAAACCAAACATACATAACATGAAAACACAATTGGCATCCGTGTTTACTTCTGCGCCTCCGAGGTTCCCCGGTGAGCTCTCCTGTTATTTTCTCCGACTTGCACTTCCACATATTCCAGAGCGGATCGATACGTTAAAGGCAACCGAGCGTGCACTGCTGTCATACTAAGCACCATTTTGTCCTGTTCCTGATTGGCTCTCCCAGGTCTCCCGACACTCACTTAGTTAATATATGTTTGTATGCTTTGTATGTAATCAAGCATTGCCTTCAGATAATGCCCTCAAGTCGGCTAACTAGCTCAATCTGCCTTAACAAATTCCGTAATGGATTTTTCCTCTCCTGGGAGAAGGGAGCGATCAAACTGAGTGAACTCCAGGGTAAAGTGACTGTTATGTCTTTAGAGTGGATATGATTGTAGGCGACTTATAGGATTCTCGACTTGTCAAAGCAACAGCCATTACATGTTTCTGATTATGTCTTTTGGTAATCAAGATGTCGCCCATATTGATGGCAACTGTTAATATTCAAGAGCAGCAGAGGATTGTGGGAGTGCAGATGTTTTATAGGCTCTCTGATTGGCTGAAAGTCCCTCTTGGCCCCCGACCATAATGTTGGTGTCCATTAGGAATTGGAGAATGTCGCTTACAACAAGAGGCTCTGATGAGATGCAACAATGACGACGAGCAGAGAAAAGAAAGGCTAGAGGCCCTTAGACGTCTCACTAGCAGCTCCCGGCAGTGTACAGCAAGATAAGTTTTATTATTGACAGTACTATACACTACTACGATGCTATTGAGTACTAGTCTAAAGGCTGTTAGAATAAAGTATGCCACTTCATATGCGCCTCTTAATGAGGTCTGCAGCAGTAAGGTGTGAATGCGCTTATCAAAGAAACTGTTAGAAATTGTAATATAGAACGTTTTAGTGTCACAGCACTGTTCAGTAAGTTATTATAAAAAAATACGTGTATATCATGTAGAACAACATTCTCATTTTCAAAATGTAAGAGTCACTGTATTGAGTAACTTTTTGGTCCAGAACACCATTTATAATGACACTGTTGTTTGATTTTGAACACTTTAAGAACAGGAAGCCCATCTAGTTTATTTCACAACTTATATTATCTGACGCGGCGCCACCTGCAGGTGAAAGCCTGATCCCATCAGACCCGTGAAGCTTAGCTTAGCTGGTAATTACTGTGATAGGAGACCTTTGGGAAAACCAGGTGCCGCAGTGGGGTAGCTGTGGCAGTAATGTGCCAAACTGTGGTTGTGTCGTTAGGCAAGACACTTCAAGCACATTGCCTAGAGTGAGTCTGGTGTGTGTGTGAATGGTGGTGGTCAGAGGGCACGATGGCACATACTGGTTGCCTCACTTCCATCAATGTGACCCAGGGCAGCTGTAGCTAGTAGTAAGTTATCACGGCCAAGTATGGAGTGGATGAATGAACATGTGAAACGTCTGAGTGTCCTGAAAAGCTTTTTTTTCAACCGATAAATCCTGCACGGCAAATTGACCATTGTCAGTATCGATACATTGATCTGTGTGTGTGAACAGATCATACAATACAAGTCATTATAATTATATACTTACAGGTATTTGTGTACAATGTGTTGTATTTCTGGGCCTTCCCCCTCTGGACTCAGAGCGTATTTAACCATTAGAGCTGTAATAATCAGCTGCATTGACCATTGTCCCAAACACTGCATTTTAACACTAAGATTTAGCAGAATCAATGACTCCAATCTCTATTGTCATATAACAGGGACATAATTGATTTTTAGACGCCGGATTATCTGTTATCAAAAGCAATGCAAAAGTGTTTGAACATATTTGTATTTTGAATGTGCTGGAAACGGCAGCAAGTGTCTCTGAAACAGTTGTATTGTGCTTTACAATTGTTATATTTCTTGTTTTTCCACTTGTAAAGGTTGCTGCAGTAGTGTTCAAAGTTTAACATGGATCCAGAACAGAGCAGATTCACCGACCGAACCAAGCGTATAAAGCAGAAATTAACTGGAGGAATGCTAATTTTTTTGAAAAATGCTAACAAAGCATTCAGCATTTTACTGTGGACCAGAGCGGAAGACCAAGCGGCTGCTCCACCTCTGCTGCTCTGACCTAAAGTGCTGTTGCATTTAATACTATTGTGAGCTACTTTTTCATTTGTTTTGTTTGTTTGGATGCATGTGTTTCTGCTGCAACTGGACACCTGAATTTCTCCCCCGGGGATCAATAAAGTATCTATTTATCTGGTTACCACTAAAGAGTAAGTAGGCTTCTTTGCCTACTTATTCCTGATGTTTTAACCTTAAGAAAAATGTTAGAAATGACCAGTGAATCCTTTCTCATCCCGTACAGTATATAATAAACCACCAAAACACACAGCATTATGGAGCTTTTCACTTCAAAACACAAAACGTGTGTCATACTTGCGAAACCAATGTTTTAATTATATTAACACTCAAATTAAAAAGTCATAAAATGTGATTACGTGCAATAGTTTCAAGGCAAAAGCATAAAACAGGTTCAACACTAACATGAAGGCAAATTAGTAGAATAAATTAAAGGGTTTAAAATGGGATTACAGCAAAAACTAACGCTGCTGTGGAAAGAAAATAAGCATTTGTTTTTGCATTTCAGGATTCCCTGCCTTTATAAAACAAAACAAATTAACACTAATTTGTGGAGAAACAGGACAAAGTCTAAATATAATTCACTATAATACCTCTTAGTGTTATAGAAGAATGGTCTCCATCAGTCTCTGGCCAGTGAGGCTCTGCTCCGGGTCACTGACACATTTGGCATGAACGGATGAGTTGGGTTCTTGTGGTTTTCTTCCAGATTGCATTCCGCAGTCTTAGCCGCAATTAGTAAACATTCGCACCGGGAACAAATAGGACGAGGAAAAGAAAAGAGGCACATAGGGCAGATCTCAAACCACAAATTTGTTCTTGGTGGTGGAGCCGCTCTTGGTGGCTGTGTCGGCGTGTGACTGGTATCCAATGGTCATCTTAAGGGGCAGCCCCAGACGCTCCTTGTAAACTCTCCTGGACACACGAGAAGAACACAGAACCATCAGACTGTGTGTAATATTCTAACTGAGGAGATCTAACGGTTTGGCTCCAGCTGCACTTTTCATGCCTCACGTTTGTAGAAGAGCACAAACTTTACATCAATGTTTTCAGTTTCATCTCACGCTCAGGTTAGGCGCAGACATAGAAAAATAAAGCAAAACCATGAGACAGATAATCTGCCTCATAGTGAATGAAAGTGAGAACAGCAACAACACGCAGCGCAAAGCTGAACCCATTACGTGAATTCAATCATTAAAAAAATTGATGTATGTATGTTCAGCAAGTCATTACTGAAGTCGGTTCACAATACCAGTACTTGTATAAGAATTGAAATGCATTTAAGAAATATTAAAGATGTATTCAGACCAGAAGTCCTTTGCTCCGCTTGCTTGGTCCGAACCAAAAGCGGACCAAACCTTTTTCTTTTGGTCCGGTTCATATCGACTACTTTTTGGAAGTTAACTTCTTTTATAAACATATTGACGCGTGTGACGATCGGCGCCCCTCTTGGACAGCGAGAGCTCACAGAGAATAGATGCAGAAATGGAGGAAAATATTGAGCTCGTACCATGGATCTATAATAATAACGGCTTGTACGTGCTGCATGTCTGCTCTGTCTATGTTTGCTCTTTTTAGAGCAAAAGCACCTTCAACATCAACAGCAGCTCATTCGACACAGGGGAAACGCATTGTTTCAAATTTAAGAACAGCGTCAGTGAATGAGTGCTGTCGAAAGCCCAAGAAGACGAGACCACCTAAAAAAAGTGGGTCTCGGTCTGGTTCTTTGGTCCAGACCAGGATACGTTTGTGTGTATTCACACCTGCATAGAAGGTTCGGATCAGAGTTCCAAACGAATCCGGGTCCGTTTAAAGTGGACCAAATGTGCAGGTCTGAATACACCCAACAAAAAAAACTATAAATCTTTAGATCTTCTGCAAATGTTCCATTTCTATTTTAGTAATGGGAAAGCAACAGTATAATTTTCACTTTTCAAAGTATTTACACATGCATGCACTACTGAACGATTTCTGAACGAGTTAAAAAAAATGCTTATTACTACAAACAAGTTGTATTAAAACTAATTACATTGAAGAATAGAGCTAATTGATTTAGCGTATGTATGAAATCAGGCCACGCAAATCTGGGCAGTGCTAAACATTCAAACTGGAAAAAAATAAATAAAATGGGTATAGCTCCTTTAAGTATTTAGACTCATCTCACTATGAGGATGGATTGTTCTATGGGTGCTATGGGTACGATACAAAAATGCCCCAAAAAGAAATTGTTAGAAAAACTAATGTTGGCAAATTTCGACAGTCTTAAAACAAGATTTGTCGATGGAACAAGAATTGGGTAAAGCTCCTTTAAGTATTTAGACTCGACTCACCCTATATGCGTGATGGCTTCACGATTCTCATAGTCCGATGTCCACACCGCGATTTTATCTCCCTTGGTGCGGATGTTGACCACCGCCCCGCAGACTTCGTCACTAAAGTCATCAAAGGCCTCTCCCACTAAGCACAGCAGCTGAGGACACATGACATTAAATACGGTTACTCTCGTCTGAGCTCCACATGAAGAGTTTGTGCTGGACGGGGGGGACGTACAGTTTCGAGCCAGAAGCGGTCCAGGTCCTGTCTCCGCTGCTGTTTGCTGAGTGTGAGGAGCCAGCGGCCGCCTTGCTTGTTCCTCTCGTCCTCCCACATTGGCTCGATGCCGTCCTGCACAGTTCACACGCTCACTACACAAGCCAGTCTCTCACACACAAGTTTCTAAACAGACGGGACTAAAAACACCAGGAAACAAAGTGATCATGGTTCTCAGCATTTTTTTTTAACGTAGCTCCCCCAAGGATAATTTTATGGGTGATTATATAAAAAACTTTATTGTTGCACTATGAGGATGGATTGTTTTATGGACATACACAAAAAGCCCCCTAAAGAAATTGTCTTTTTTTTTTTGTGACAGTCTTAACTCATTGAATGCCAGCCTATTTCAGAACAGGTACTCCCACAGTGCCAGCCATTTCTGATGATTTTTACTGATTTTTCAAGACCCACAGAATATTGTGTACTATGACTATCTGAAATCCGACACCAGATTCTAAAAGAATGGACTGTCTACTTTCCTCAGCAAAAAGAATTTTGTTTATAGCTTTTTTCGTTCCCCTGTAATCCTTTGTTGAGTAGAGGGAAGTTTTACTGAAATCACCAGAAATCACCAGAAAGCTGAGAAAAAACATGTGCACCTACATGTTTTCAAACCATTCAGAGAGCAATGCTGCCACCTGCTGGCTCGATAAAATATGGTCTCAAGTCATCCCCATACATATTAGATACAATAGACATCTGGGAACGTGAAAATAGCGAAAAAGGCAATTGACGGATTAATGCGTCAATGGCACACGACGTTACTATTTGCTTTGACGTATTTGTGCGTCAATGGGACACAAGGAGCAGTATGTTAAAATCTGGCCAAAAGTGGTACTGCAGCCTCTCCCATTCTCCCTGACTCAGGTTGCCAGATATACAGACGAAGCCAGCTGGGACCATAATATTTGAACAGACCCGAGTTTTGTCAACAACAAATCTATAACCAACACTTTTTTCACAAAGGACCCAATAGAAATCCTGATTTTATTCATTGTTTTGTTGTTAATGATTTGAGAATCATAACGAGATATTTTTAGTTCAGTGGCCACGTGGTACTCAGTGAAATTAGATCGACGCAGTAAGTTCTGGCAACCCGGATCACAGACTTTCTGATTGGTAAAACAGTGGAGGGTGGGACATCAAAATGAAAACATTAACAAAAAATAATATAAAAAAAAAACCAAAAACTACATATCTTGGCTGAACTACTGTTCTCAGTTATAGAAGTATTGTAAAAGAGCATGGTTTACCTTTTGACAGATTACGGCCATTTAATGATGACTTGACATGAAAATCTTACATATTGCTACTTTAAAACAAGATTTGCCAATGGAACAAGAAATTCATTTGTCAAATAAATTCCTGATTTAAGATTAAGCTGGTCGTTCCATTGTTTTAAGAATTTTTTTCAAATCAAGATATAATCTACTTAGCCAATGTAGCACATCATTACGTCACTGTCTAAAAAGGAGTAGCTCTCTGCACAAGGCAAAGGTTGGCGACCCCTGATCTACCGTATGTGTATGTGCATAGTAGGGACGCAGAAAGATGGTGAAAACTGGTGCAAGAACGTGTTACTAATTAGATGCAGCAATATTATGACAACAAACACATATAGGCTTTGTTGTGAAGGCCACTCACACTGCTACCGGAAACTAAAACGCACTGCAACTTGTTCATAATACTTATCCTAGTAAGGCTGCAAACCAATAACCAATACATTTATTTGAAAAGAAATAAAAGCGAGTGTTTAATAACGCCACACATACCTTAAAGAGTGAGTAGTCACAGCCTGACATCAGCATGCTTGACAGCTGGATGTGGTTGTACAGGCTGCAAGAAAAGAGGCTTTTCAATCATTCTGCACAACCCACAATATTTCATAAAAGCAGTGAAGTCATGGCATTTTACAGCTCATGTCACTACGGCAAAATACTGAAAAAACTATGGATTTATGGCCTCTTACGCCCAGAAATCTTCCACTGTGTCAAATTTGGAGATGAGTCGGAGGTTGGCTTGCCATGTTTTGCTTTTGTCATTCTTGAAGAACCAGAGAGACCATCTGTTGGGCCAAAAAAAAAAAAACGGTTGCGTTAATTTGCATAGATGTAACAGGCTCTTAATTAAAACATGGAGTAAACAGCAAAGAATCTAAAGCCATGAGCTCCAAAGCAAATCAGAGATGTATGGAAGCACCTGCTGAATCGTACTGCATAAAGCCATCACTCCTCGGGTCTAATTAACAGTGACACCCTGACAAACCCCGACAAACCCCGACAAATGCACTCAGTCAGAGCTAAATATTACAGTCTATACAGTAGAACGTGAGGAGCCTTTTCACAAACACTCCTTAGAGACGGATTCATGTTCTTTTTTTTTCCATTTGCAGCAAAACCACATTGGAATACATCCGCAAAAGTCCCCAGACACGTACATACACAAAACAAAGTTAAATATCGTACAAAAAAAGAAAATAAAAAAAAACAGGAAACAATTGTCACTGTGAAAAACTTGTGGAAAGAAGCTGTTAGCAAAACATGAGTCCTGAATCTCAGCAAACTATATCTTCTGCCAGAGGGAAGAAGCTGAAACATGGCTTTTCCAGGAGCCAGAAGAGTCATTGATTATTCTAAGAGCTTAGTTTAAAATCTCCTTTTGAGCAGTACTTGTCTGCTCAAATAAACAAATAAATAAAAATACTGTATTCATAAAGAACCTCCAGAACTGGTCTCTACCTCTCTCTGTGGTCTCTCTCCCTCTCTCTCTGGTCTCTCTCCCTCTCTCTGGTCTCTCTCCCTCTCTCTGGTCTCTTTCCCTCTCTCTGTGGTCTCTCTCTCTCTCTGTGGTCTCTCTCTCTCTCTGTGGTCTCTCTCCCTCTCTCTGTGGTCTCTCTCCCTCTCTCTGTGGTCTCTCTCCATCTCTTTCTTTGACTGTGATGTCACCAAACACAGTCATAGATCTAACTAGTAAACTTTCAATGGTGCAGAAATAAAGGTTAAGCAGAATCTTACAGTTAGCGGTAGATTCTCTCCACACAGCTGCTGCTGCTAGTCTTCTCGAGCTGATAGTATCAATTCACCTAGTCATTGAGAAATCCATTTATTGATCAAGTAATCCAGTGCATTTTATTTCCATAAAAAAGTTTCATTTTCATATTTGCCTGGATATATGCATTAATTATTATGAATATGCTTTGGAATCATTTGCATTTGATCTTGAATCTGATTTGCTGCCAAACAGATTATTCGTATGTTAAAGTCTGGCCTTGAGACCAGGCGAGGGCTTAATCCTTTGCTGGTGAAGGAGCCATGTCCTGATTACTGGAGGCTGTTTTGAAATTACTGAAGATTGCTGATAATGAATGCATTTTCAATCAGCCGAGCCCAAAAGAGGACCAGGCCATGCTTGTTTTCACCCTGTTTTTTTTTATACACTTCATGTTGTTGCGGGAAACGGACCCTGCATTTTATTATGTATTCTAGTAATGTGCAATTTTATTAAACTGTACTTAAATATGCAATGTAGTAACCTGCACTTATTATTTGAACTGTATTTTAAAAAGGTAAAGGATTTTCCTAAATTTTAGGAAAGAACAGCCCTCTCCACTTGAACAGAATCGGCGAGTACGTATCACCAGAATGATTGACAATTACGGCTCAGACCAATAGTCTTGATGATCCACCCATCCATCCATCCATTTTCTTCCGCTTTATCCGTTGCCGGGTCGCGGGGGCAGCAGTCTAAGCAGAGACGCCCAGACTTCCCTATACACACACACTTCCTCCAGCTCGTCCGGGGGGACCCCAAGGCGTTCCCAGGCCAGCTGAGAGACATAGTCCCTCCAGCGTGTCCTGGGTCTTCCGCGGGGCCTCCTCCCGGTGGGGCGTGCCCGGAACACCTCCCCAGGGAGGCGTCCAGGAAGCATCCGGAACAGATGCCCGAGCCACCTCAACTGGTTCCTCTCGACGTGGAGAAGCAGCGGTTCTACTCCGAGCTCCTCCCGTGTGACTGAGCTCCTCACCCTATCTCTAAGGGAGCGCCAAGCCACTCTGCGGAGGAAGCTCATTTCGACCGCTTGTATCCGCGATCTCGTTCTTTCGGTCATTACCCAAAGCTCATGACCATAGGTGAGGGAGGGAACGAAGATTGACCGGTAAATCGAGAGCTTTGCCTTTCGGCTCAGCTCCCTCTTCACCACAACGGTCCGATACAGCGACCGCATAACTGCGCACGCTGCACCGATCCGCCTGTCAATCTCACGCTCCATTCTTCCCTCACTCGTGAACAAGACCCCGAGATACTTGAACTCCTCCACTTGAGGAAGGACCTCTCCACCCACCTGCAGAGGGCAAGGCACCTTTTTCCGGTCGAGCACCATGGCCTCGGATTTGGAGGTGCTGATTCTCATCCCAGCCGCTTCACACTCGGCTGCAAACCGTCCCAGTGCATGCTGCAGATCCTGGTTCATTGGAGCCAACAGGACAACATCGTCCGCAAACAGCAGAGATGAAATCCTGTGGTCTCCGAACCGGACCCCCTCCGACCCCTGGCTGCGCCTAGATATTCTGTCCATAAATACAGTGAACAGAACCGGTGACAAAGGGCAGCCCTGTCGGAGGCCAACATGCACCGGGAACAGGTCTGACTTACTGCCGGCAATGCGAACACAGCTCTGGCTCCGGTCATACAGGGATCGGATGGCCCTCAGCAGAGGACCTCCGACCCCGTACTCCCGGAGAACCCCCCAAAGGACACCCCGGGGAACACAGTCGAACGCCTTCTCCAAATCCACAAAGCACATGTGGACAGGTTGGGCGAACTCCCATGAACCCTCGAGTATCCGATGGAGAGTATAGAGCTGGTCCAGTGTTCCGCGACCGGGACGAAAACCACACTGCTCCTCCTGGATCCGAGATTCGACCATTGGCCGTAACCTCCTCTCCAGTACCTTGGAGTAGACCTTGATCCACCCGGAAGCAGAAAATCCTACTATATATATATATATATCTCTTTTAGTATGCAAGTCTTATGATTGTATTGTCAAGGACTACAGATGGAAAGTAGCTGGTGCTAAATCTCTTTAATGAAATTGCACATTGTCCATAATAAATTTAACTTTAATCCCAGCTAAACTGATGTACTGAAAATGGGTGATGTGAAAGTGGTCTGATTGAGGCAGGCGGAAATGTCTGGAATCGGGTGGAATCCAAATCTACCCTTCAAACATTTGGTGTGTATAAAGAGGAACAGATCAAAGCTCCCCAGAAGGTTTGTGACTTCTGAAAGTGGGCTTAAGACACTACTGACTTCTCATTAGGAGATACTAGAGCTAGCCGGAATCAACTTTTTAATCTATATGTGTTGTAAGTAATTACGTAATGTGTATTTATAAAGCTAATTTTACAGACCAAGGTCACCAAAAGCCCTTTAAAATGTTCAGAGCTCAGACATTTTTTCATTCTCTCCACATGGCGATGACTGAAGAGAGACGCCGAACGCACTGGACCATCAAAACCTCTGACCAAACACCAACCATTCACACATTACATTCAGAGTTATTGTACATTTTTTAGTGGTGGGGGTAACTGGAGCACCCGGTGGCCTGGAGGTGGAATCAAACCCAGGACCTTCTTGCTGTGAAAAAAAAAAAAGAGCTCTGACCGTTCCATCACCGCGCCGCCAATCTTGGTCTAAATAGATCATTTTAAAACACAATCTTATAACATTTTGTGAGACCAAGTTATTTGTCACCACAAGGGAAAAGGAGCATCCATCCATGCAGGCGAGCTCTTCTCTCACACACACACAGCATTTTGAAATGTAATCTAAGTTATATCGGTATCGGCCGATCTTAGCCTTGTTAACTACCACCTCAGCTGTAGTTATCTGCAGTTCATCCAGAGTGATCATGGGCCTCTTGGCTACATCTCTGATCAGTCTTCTCCTTGTTTGAGATGAAAGTTTGGAGGGACGGCCGGGTCTTGGTAGATTTGCAGTGGTCTGATACTCCTTCCATTTCAATATAATTGCTTGCACAGTGCTCCTTGAGATTTTTAAAGCTTGGGAAATCTTTTTGTATCCAAATCCGGCTTTAAACTTCTCCACAACAGTATCTCGGACCTGCCTGGTGTGTTCCTTTGTCTTCATGGTTCTCTCTGCGCTTTAAACAGAACCCTGAGACTATCAAAGAGCAGGTGCATTTATACGGAGACTTGATTACACACAGGTGCATTCTATTTATCATCATCAGTCATTTAGGACAACATTGGATCATTCAAAGATCCTCACTGAACTTCTGGAGTGAGTTTGCTGCACTGAAAGTAAAGGGGCCGAATAATATTGCACGCCCCACTTTTCAGTTTTTTATTTGTTAAAAAAGTTTAAATTATCCAATAAATTTCGTTCCACTTCACGATTGTGTCCCACTTGTTGTTGATTCTTGACAAAAAATAATAATAATAAATAATCTTTGTTTGAAGCCTGAAATGTGGCGAAATGTTGAAAGTTTCAAGGGGGCGAATACTTTCGCAAGGCGCTGTATTAACAACATTGGTGCATCCCTAATCAAAGGGCGACAGTTCTGTATAATATCAAAAAATATAAAAATGACCTAAACTAGATGTAAATGCCCTAAATGTCACAAATGACAGAATATAAATGCAGTTTTTTGTTCACAGGAGTTAGCTAACAAACATGGCTACGTAACGATGCCATGAAGTTTAATACTAATACTGCTATCAGTTTTTGATAAATGTGGTATCGTCCCATCCGTCGTCTGAAAGTTGTCTGTTGTAACATGTCAGCTGTTTGGGCTTCCATGAAAACCAAAAATGATAATTCTACCTAATCTAATATGTTGCACATTTTGAACTCCTAATTGTGTAGACATTTGAAGTGTAAATTGTGACCCTGGAGTCTACACAACTTATCTAAACAAATGTATGTATTTGACAACATTTGCTTTTAAATGTATTCCTGTTAGACACATTTCAAGCGAGGCGACCCGCGGAGTTCAACGATCAATTCTCCAAATGGCTCAGCATTCAGCGAACAGGGAATTCATTGTTTTTGTCAAAGATTGATTCATGTCTTGCCTTCTGTTTGGGGCGCCCTCCGTGCTCTAAAAAGGGTTATTTTAGCTCCGATCTGTGCGCACATCAAACAAATATGTGAAGTGTATGTCACCGAGCGTTTCTTTGATGCTGCAGAAGCATGCATTTTTTAACATTTATAGCTTCTTGCTAGCTACAAGTTGACTCGAAACAGGATGAAAAGATGTGATGCATTTTTATTATTTCCTCTATTCTGCACCCACGTATTAAACTGGGTAAATCTAATCCTTTACCAAAATACATCTACAATGACATAAATAATGAACCATAAATGACAACGCTTTCAAAATGTTCACCGCCAGAGACAAATTCTGAATCTCATCCACCCTTTAAAGTTCAATACTTTATTTCAGACACAAAAGTAAATGGTCCATACCAGAATGACATACATAAAACATAGGATTTTTTTTTTTTTTGTAAAGATAATAAGTTATCTCCTATAGGCTCCGAAGCCAGTGAGTCTATATACAGTACCTGAATTGGAGTAACTTAGTCTTAAAAATACATTTACTGCACATTGACAATGCACTAACTGGACTAACTTAAAGACCTTATGACGGGTTTTTAAAAAAAAAAATAGTGGATATCAAAATTGCATGACAATGTCAATTTGAAAGAGATTCCGGCAAAAAAAATCCTATATTTTATAAAAAGAACGTGTTTTTCATGAATTTAAGTTGTCTATGTTCTAACCTGTGTGTGACGTCATAGCGGGTAACGCCCATGCATTGAAAACCATGGATCTATGCCACAGGACTGCCTTTTCTCTCTTCTCTCCACTGATGCCCAACACTACTGCCCTCTACAGGTGACAACTGCTCATTACACATAAATTGCCGTTTTGAGAGTGAAAAAGTGTCTGAGGTGGGATTTGAACCCAAGTATCTGGATTGGCAGTCCATCGACACAACCACTGGACTATCTCAGTGACAACGAAAAGATACATTCTAGTAGTTATCTTAGACTCGCTGTACACGGCCTTGTCATCTTGAATATCCGCGAAAAAAGAACGAATACCAAATTGTAAACAACTTACAGCATTGAAACGTACCCGTTCTGACGTCACCAAGGGCTGTGAAGTTTATTCGTTTCTAAGGGCGTTGCTATGGGGTTATTTCGATTTGGGGGGATCAGACAAAAAAAACAACTGATTTTGAAACCTTTAGTAGTTCTCTTCTAATATAAAATGGTATTAAAACTGTATTTCTAAATAAATCAAACCCGTCATAAGGTCTTTAAGCAAGACTTTAATGAATGATTCTTGATAAAAGTTTAAGATTTAATTAACTATTAACATAATCAATAACTTGTGCCACTAATGTACGTGTTCTACACCGTGCCACATTTCAGGGTGAGGCCGGAATTATGAATTTAGAGTTCTTTCAGTACATTTACTAAATTACAATTTTCCTTCACAAACTTTCCTTGGTGGAAAACTATAGCTTGGCTACACACTCTCACTTCTCTACAGCTGAAAAGATCACCTGCCCATTACAGTCTATGATTGTCAGGCTGTTAAACTAATTTAAAATTAAAACTGGTGTCATTCCATCAAAAACTGTTGAAAATAGAAACAAAACATTGTTACAAGCATATTTTAACTTTTTATTCATTCCTACATGTAGCTGTAAATAAATCTTTAAAGACAGACATTAATGCTTATAGAAAGATTTTTTGAAATGGAAAAAGGGTCCTCAAAATGATTGATGGAAAAGAAAGTAGAAACCCACAAAAAACGGTTGAGCTAATGCGTTTGGAAAGACATATAATTGTATTTCTGATGCACAAAATGCAAACGTCACATTGAATGAGTCAGTGTGCTCGCTTGTTTGACACAGCTTTCAGGACACAGCGTCTTTAATCTAAATAATACATGTTACATTGGGCCATGGGGAGAATGAGCTGATACAGACCTGTTCTGGAGCGGGTGCTTCATGTAAGCCTCTGGACTCACTATCTCCTGCCCACTCTCCACAGCTCCATCTTCATCGGGCTGGAGCGGACTTGGGGTGTTCTCCTGAGGAAAACAAGCAGAAAAGATTTTGAATAATAATTAAAAAAAAAAAGAATAATGTTGAAAAGTATAAAAACAAGTATGATCTTGAAGTAAGTAAGTAATCTTTATTTATATACCGCCTTTCACAGACCAGAGTCACAAAGCGGTTTACAATTGTTATTTTTGGACATTTGTCTCTCACTCCACACAGAGATGGGAGGGGCCAGTACATGAGGCGCATGCCAGACGTATTGTTCATGTTTTTAGTGGTAGGGGAAACCGGAGTACCCGGAGGAAACCTACCCAGACACAGGGAGAACAGAAAAACCCTGTTCCGACCAGGATATGAACACAGAACCTTCTTGCTGAGAGGCTAGAGTGCTATCCACTCAGCCACCGTGAAAGGTATATAGGAGTATTTTCTACTTCCAGGTGGATCATCAAGACTATTGGTCCTCCCAATGCTCAATCATTCTGATGATACGTGCTCGTCAAGTCTGACCCTGTTCAAAAAGTGGAGGGGGGGGTTCTTTACTAAAATGTTGGGAAAATCCTCATATACCATTTTATAGAGCATTTTTATTTTAATATAATAGCTTTAGGGAAGTTTTAATAACCCGCAAGGTATTGTTGTGAGGTATCAATGTGACTGAGTGGTTGTGAATCGAACTATACTTTGGATTGGTGAGTTCTTGAGTGAAAACACAGCCACATATGGTCAAAGGAGAAGTTTTTTTTATTTTAATATTATTTTTATTTTAATATAATAGCTTTAGGGAAGTTTTAATAACCCGCAAGGTATTGTTGTGAGGTATCAATGTGACTGAGTGGTTGTGAATCGAACTATACTTTGGATTGGTGAGTTCTTGAGTGAAAACACAGCCACATATGGTCAAAGGAGAAGTTTTTTTTATTTTAATATTATTTTTATTTTAATATAATAGCTTTAGGGAAGTTTTAATAACCCGCAAGGTATTGTTGTGAGGTATCAATGTGACTGAGTGGTTGTGAATCGAACTATACTTTGGATTGGTGAGTTCTTGAGTGAAAACACAGCCACATATGGTCAAAGGAGAAGTTTTTTTTTATTTTAATATTATTTTTATTTTAATATAATAGCTTTAGGGAAGTTTTAATAACCCGCAAGGTATTGTTGTGAGGTATCAATGTGACTGAGTGGTTGTGAATCGAACTATACTTTGGATTGGTGAGTTCTTGAGTGAAAACACAGCCACATATGGTCAAAGGAGAAGTTTTTTTTATTTTAATATTATTTTTATTTTAATATAATAGCTTTAGGGAAGTTTTAATAACCCGCAAGGTATTGTTGTGAGGTATCAATGTGACTGAGTGGTTGTGAATCGAACTATACTTTGGATTGGTGAGTTCTTGAGTGAAAACACAGCCACATATGGTCAAAGGAGAAGTTTTTTTTTATTTTAATATTATTTTTATTTTAATATAATAGCTTTAGGGAAGTTTTAATAACCCGCAAGGTATTGTTGTGAGGTATCAATGTGACTGAGTGGTTGTGAATCGAACTATACTTTGGATTGGTGAGTTCTTGAGTGAAAACACAGCCACATATGGTCAAAGGAGAAGTTTTTTTTTTTTTTAATATTATTTTTATTTTAATATAATAGCTTTAGGGAAGTTTTAATAACCCGCAAGGTATTGTTGTGAGGTATCAATGTGACTGAGTGGTTGTGAATCGAACTATACTTTGGATTGGTGAGTTCTTGAGTGAAAACACAGCCACATATGGTCAAAGGAGAAGTTTTTTTTATTTTAATATTATTTTTATTTTAATATAATAGCTTTAGGGAAGTTTTAATAACCCGCAAGGTATTGTTGTGAGGTATCAATGTGACTGAGTGGTTGTGAATCGAACTATACTTTGGATTGGTGAGTTCTTGAGTGAAAACACAGCCACATATGGTCAAAGGAGAAGTTTTTTTTTATTTTAATATTATTTTTATTTTAATATAATAGCTTTAGGGAAGTTTTAATAACCCGCAAGGTATTGTTGTGAGGTATCAATGTGACTGAGTGGTTGTGAATCGAACTATACTTTGGATTGGTGAGTTCTTGAGTGAAAACACAGCCACATATGGTCAAAGGAGAAGTTTTTTTTTATTTTAATATTATTTTTATTTTAATATAATAGCTTTAGGGAAGTTTTAATAACCCGCAAGGTATTGTTGTGAGGTATCAATGTGACTGAGTGGTTGTGAATCGAACTATACTTTGGATTGGTGAGTTCTTGAGTGAAAACACAGCCACATATGGTCAAAGGAGAAGTTTTTTTTTATTTTAATATTATTTTTATTTTAATATAATAGCTTTAGGGAAGTTTTAATAACCCGCAAGGTATTGTTGTGAGGTATCAATGTGACTGAGTGGTTGTGAATCGAACTATACTTTGGATTGGTGAGTTCTTGAGTGAAAACACAGCCACATATGGTCAAAGGAGAAGTTTTTTTTATTTTAATATTATTTTTATTTTAATATAATAGCTTTAGGGAAGTTTTAATAACCCGCAAGGTATTGTTGTGAGGTATCAATGTGACTGAGTGGTTGTGAATCGAACTATACTTTGGATTGGTGAGTTCTTGAGTGAAAACACAGCCACATATGGTCAAAGGAGAAGTTTTTTTTATTTTAATATTATTTTTATTTTAATATAATAGCTTTAGGGAAGTTTTAATAACCCGCAAGGTATTGTTGTGAGGTATCAATGTGACTGAGTGGTTGTGAATCGAACTATACTTTGGATTGGTGAGTTCTTGAGTGAAAACACAGCCACATATGGTCAAAGGAGAAGTTTTTTTTATTTTAATATTATTTTTATTTTAATATAATAGCTTTAGGGAAGTTTTAATAACCCGCAAGGTATTGTTGTGAGGTATCAATGTGACTGAGTGGTTGTGAATCGAACTATACTTTGGATTGGTGAGTTCTTGAGTGAAAACACAGCCACATATGGTCAAAGGAGAAGTTTTTTTTTATTTTAATATTATTTTTATTTTAATATAATAGCTTTAGGGAAGTTTTAATAACCCGCAAGGTATTGTTGTGAGGTATCAATGTGACTGAGTGGTTGTGAATCGAACTATACTTTGGATTGGTGAGTTCTTGAGTGAAAACACAGCCACATATGGTCAAAGGAGAAGTTTTTTTTATTTTAATATTATTTTTATTTTAATATAATAGCTTTAGGGAAGTTTTAATAACCCGCAAGGTATTGTTGTGAGGTATCAATGTGACTGAGTGGTTGTGAATCGAACTATACTTTGGATTGGTGAGTTCTTGAGTGAAAACACAGCCACATATGGTCAAAGGAGAAGTTTTTTTTTATTTTAATATTATTTTTATTTTAATATAATAGCTTTAGGGAAGTTTTAATAACCCGCAAGGTATTGTTGTGAGGTATCAATGTGACTGAGTGGTTGTGAATCGAACTATACTTTGGATTGGTGAGTTCTTGAGTGAAAACACAGCCACATATGGTCAAAGGAGAAGTTTTTTTTTTATTTTAATATTATTTTTATTTTAATATAATAGCTTTAGGGAAGTTTTAATAACCCGCAAGGTATTGTTGTGAGGTATCAATGTGACTGAGTGGTTGTGAATCGAACTATACTTTGGATTGGTGAGTTCTTGAGTGAAAACACAGCCACATATGGTCAAAGGAGAAGTTTTTTTTTATTTTAATATTATTTTTATTTTAATATAATAGCTTTAGGGAAGTTTTAATAACCCGCAAGGTATTGTTGTGAGGTATCAATGTGACTGAGTGGTTGTGAATCGAACTATACTTTGGATTGGTGAGTTCTTGAGTGAAAACACAGCCACATATGGTCAAAGGAGAAGTTTTTTTTATTTTAATATAATAGCTTTAGGGAAGTTTTAATAACCCGCAAGGTATTGTTGTGAGGTATCAATGTGACTGAGTGGTTGTGAATCGAACTATACTTTGGATTGGTGAGTTCTTGAGTGAAAACACAGCCACATATGGTCAAAGGAGAAGTTTTTTTTTATTTTAATATTATTTTTATTTTAATATAATAGCTTTAGGGAAGTTTTAATAACCCGCAAGGTATTGTTGTGAGGTATCAATGTGACTGAGTGGTTGTGAATCGAACTATACTTTGGATTGGTGAGTTCTTGAGTGAAAACACAGCCACATATGGTCAAAGGAGAAGTGCTCCACCAACTTGAGAAGCTAATGGTCGTGTTATTGTTAAAGAGCTCTATTAACTCATTGACTGCCAGCCCGTTTTGACGATTTAACTGATTTTTAAGACCCTACAGAATATTGTGTATTAAGACTCTACAAACTATGAAACCAGATTCTGAAAGACTGTATTGTCCAGTTTCATCAGCAAAAATAAGTTGTTTTCAAGCTAGTTTTGTTCTTATTGACTGCCATTGACGTATTTATCCAATACCGGTGATTTTTGTTAAACTTCACTCTTCAACTGGGGATTACTTAAGAACAAAACTAGCTAGAAACCAACTTATTTTTGCTGATGAAAGTAGACAGTCCAGTCTTTCAGAATCTGGTTTCATATTTCACATAGTCACAGCACACAATATTCTGTGGGTCTTGAGAATCAGTGAAATCATCAAAAACGGCTGGTAGTCAATGAGTTAATGCCAAATCCAACACGGCGAAGACATGTGTGCGTTTGAAGCCGAAATAGTCACATGTCGTATTTGTGGATGACTTCATGTTACAGAGCGGACATAGCTCTGACCAACTCTCCCGATCACACCAAACAAACGTCAGCCCAAAGTTAGAAATCTCTTCTGACACTGGACGCTCAGGACCGTCAGGACGTGTGGCACCAAAATCCTCCAAAACAAGCTCAAACTATAATGAAAGCCGAGAACAACTATATGTTCCTTTTAATAAATGTGTGTTTAAAGTTGTCCGTGCACTTTCTGGGCAATATTCTGGCAGATTTCAGCGCTATGAGGCTCACAAATACTCAGACGTGTCTTCAGAGAAAGTACTCACCGGTTGGGCCGTCGCCATCTTACAAAACCTGTCTTTAGAAACTGGGCGCTGATTGGTGGAAGCTGGACCACGTGGGCTGATCGCGCAGAGGACATGCGCAGTGGGCTTTCCTTCCGTAGTTGCCAAGTATTGTTCTTTATCGCGAATTTGGGCTTCTATTTTTAGACCAACCACGATTCAACCCCATACGTCCATAAGAAAAATAAATGACGCTAAATACATTTATAACATGCATTGCAATAAGTAGTAAGCTTAAAGATTAATGTTTAACTAACAAAATATCATGTATCATACACGATAGAGGAGTGGCCGAATTTCAAAAAAACGAATTGAGGGTCCGACATTTGTTTTGGTTGAAATGGACTGTGACAGACATTTTGTTTGTGTCATCTATGTTGGGGACAAGTGACATAAAGACAGAAGTTATAGATCATATCTGCAGAGAGGCAATCCAGGTCACTCAAACAATTCAGGTTTTTCTAATGCCTCAAATAATAATTATAATAATAATTGTCATCATCATCATCATCATCAAAATAATGTACCAGCTACACTCAATCCCATTATACGTGATTGTGAGTGCAACTTCAAGCTAAAGAAATCCACAAAAAATTGGGACCAGTTTACCTTCACTAGTTTTCAGATGTATGTATACGATTATCCCATAGCGTCCAATTGGTGCCCTGAGTTAGAACCAAACATGAGAATGCAGCCTGTCAGATAACAATCTGAAACAATCTTCTTGAAAATGTGAGAAAGGTTTCTACCGCAGATAAATATCAAGGTTAAAAAACAGTTTCCTTGAGCACACAACTTTATCTTACTGGTTTGAATGTACTGTGATTATTTATGATTTCAATGTTTTGTGAAGCACTTAGAGTGTTACATTGTGTATGAACTATGCTACACAAATTAACTCGCATTGTCTGAATTGTTATGCTTTTATTTTACGATAATTCTTGTAACATTAATTATGAAAGAATGCAAAGTTTGGGACCTCACCTTTAACTAACCTTCTAACTGATTTTTGTGTTTTTGTGGGGGGGATTTGTATCCGCTTATTGCTCTCTGAAAACCTGGCACCCCTCCTCAGACGGAGGCATGGCGAGCACCGAGGCTAGAAGGGAGTGTGAGACCGAGGGCTGCAATAAGGACGCCAAACTCCAGTGTCCTACCTGCATCAAGCTCGGGATTCAAGGATCATACTTCTGTTCCCAGGTACGGTGGCCTGCGGGAGTCCAACAGTGAAAATCGCAGGTTAAATCTTTATTTTGGTCCCTGTCGCTCAGCAGCAGGGTGCTAAAGCTAGCTGTCAGGCTACAACAGGCATGTGTGAACTTGGCGAATGCTATAAATATATGGATCGTTCATATCACTTTTTGTAGTAGAAGTCTGATAACATTGAATTGAATAAACATGTGCATGCGTCGGAGGTTTCTTCTGGCTAAAATCAAACCCAGCTGCATGGATCTTTTATTATGCATTTTATTACATCCAAATACCGTGTTCAGCTGCCACCTCCTACAATAAAAGCTAACGGGGACAAGCCCAGGTCCTGGTATTATTGACTGAAATCTGATTTTGTTTTCATGTGATCAAATGTTGCCAGTTGCAAGAATGCATTCTAATAACTCTCATTTGGAATTTTCTCTGGATGCTTTGATTGCAAGATTGACCTCTAGTGAGCATAACAGTCCACAAAATCCTGATAAAGCAGTTCTGCAAATGCATAAGTAATGAATTAGTCTCTGTGAAAGATCTGCTGTCAGTGCAGTTTTGTCCATGCAGCCTGCTTGTCTTTGCTTGTTTTAACTCTGGCTTTGAGGCTCATTCAGCCGACCATAGAAAGCAGTTGAATTCATATGCTTAGTTGGTAAAAATCAACTGGATATTATGCAGACCAGCCCCGTGTATGAACAAACTATAAGCTTCCCTTTTCATTAATTAATTCTGTATTTTCAAGGAATGTTTCAAAGGCAGTTGGGTTTCTCACAAGTTGCTGCACAAAAAAGCAAGTATGTGTCGTATTGACCTTTTTAAGTTTTATTCATTATAAATGGCAAAGGCAAAGTCACACCCGAGTGTTGTTTTTTTGTGTTCTTAGAAGAAGAACAGAACCAGAATGAAACCAAAAACTGTGTGGAAAATGAAGCAAACACAGATCCATGGCCAGGCTATCGATACACTGGGAAACTACATCCTTATTACCCGCTGGTAAGTACCGGCTCCATCTGACATTTATTTATTATTTGCTTTTGTGTGACTCGGGCTGGGTACCGTTCATGTACTGGTTCAGAATATTATACAAATTATTTACTGGAATCATGTTATTTAAATTTGTATGGTAAATGTCTCCGCTGTGAGATCAATACATTTCTTATCTGATTTGATTTATGGTGACAGGTGGATTCTGTGATAGCTTAGATGTAAATTTGGCCTCGCAAATGATGTTTAATGCAATTCACAAAACATTTTCCACTACAGAACCAACTGAAAAAAGAACATGGCAGGAACCTGTACCTAAAACCATTTCTTGTTCAGGAAGTACTGGTTCTCCGGTGGTTTAGGGCTTTTCAATATTTTAAGATTGAGCAGCTGATTTTCAAACTGAGGATGTGTTTGTGTTTAAACCTTTCCAATTTGCATCATTCTCAAATCAAGCCCTTTTTTATTACACTGAGCTCCTCCGATATGAATGACCTCATCTAAAGGAGCTCCCAACAACTGTACGATAGAAATTCATTTTGAGTTAATGGAGTTGCAATCTTGTTGGAACAATACATTCTAAGAGATTAAAGAATCTTTATTCATCCCACAGTTGTGAAATATTAAAGTGATTATGCATAAGCCACAGTGGTCTTGTTACACTAGAGCACATGTTTGATTTTGTACAAAAATAAAATAATCTTCTGGCTATTATGTAGAGTGCCTTTTATTATTCGAGAGTTATATCAGTGTTGAATACTTGTATGAAAATGTATTCAATACCATAATACTGAATACATGACCTAAAATGCATGTTGTGTTGTATTTTGTTACTTTGGAAAAATAAATAGTACCTGTATTCTGAATACAATTTATACTTTTAATTATAATTTTTGTATTATTCATATTTATTGTAAATTAATGTTTTTTTACAAAACGTATTAATTAAAAAAATTACAACCTCAATAAATGTTGTTAAAAGTAATGTAAATAATGTTATAAAACGTAAAATAAATTAAACTTGATTTTTATTTCTTGGTAATTTGTACTTTAATTTTGTAAAACAAGTCAAAGTGCTTCAACAGCTGCGTTTAACAACCAGAAAAATTAGAATCTTCTCTTTAATGATACCCAATGTTCTTTTCTTTTCTTTAACCTTAAGACATAACGTAAAATATTCCTGTGATTTTTCGAAAGTAACTATAATCTAAACATTATACTTTAAAGTAGTAACTGTAAGGAAATACAGTTTCTCAGAAAGAGTATTCTGAATACGTCCTGGGATTACATGTATTCTGTTTCTCCCTAACACCGGTTATAGCAGAGTATGTTGTTCTATGCATTTCCTTCATGTCCTCTCTCGTTACAGCCTTTTGACCTAATATGTTTGTTATAATAACTCTGTACATGTTATTGCTGCAGACGCCCATGAGACCTGTGCCTGGAAACATCCAAAAACCGGACTATGCTGACCACCCCAGAGGTAACATCAGGCTTCAGACCTATATTGAATCCATTGCTCACGTGTTCGGTCACTATCACTGGTCCCTCGAGCAGTCACATAAAAGAGAACAAAGACTGGTCGAGCTTCATTATTGGTTTGTAGGATGGAACATATTTTAGTACTTTGTTTTTGTCTTTTTGAAATGTGTCTCTTATTCCCCCACACGCACAGTTCTTTCTATTTCAAGTTGGAGACGGGCAGCTGCTGGTGTCCATGTACAGCAAATATTCAGTCGGGGTTCTTTAAAATAAACCGTCCTCCCGCAGTTTTAAAACACAAAAACATAAAATGCAGGAGTCCCTAACTTCAAACCCAACCTGAACCCGCAGGGAGAGTCTGCAAAGGACGACATTTTTAACGTCATAAAAATGGCCTGGGGCGTTAATGGACTAATAAAGGGGCAGAATATGAATGAATGAATGAAAAATGGCCTGTTGATGGGCTGAACATTGTACTGTAGGGGTATTACACATTACACACACATAAAACAAATGTGTTGAAATTGATTCTCAATACTCTTAAATAGTGCGAAGGAGATAGTTCAATTCCAAAACCATTTCAAACTGCACTTGAAGGTAGGGTTGTCAAAATATCAATACTAATTACATGTTTAAACAAAATTAGTACTAAAATCAAACTAAACAAAAGAACAAAACAGTTTTTTTTAATCAATTCAAAAGTAAATTCCTTAAAATCTCATGGACCCATAAACTGTTATTATGTTGAGTTAAAATGTAAAATGTATTGTCCAAAAAACACAATTCCTAAATAATAATAATCATGTTGGCGAGGGGAGTTTGAATCCTGATTTATCGTTTTTAGACTAATTGAGTCCACGGCCGAGCCTCATGTAAATCACCAGACGGCTGTGTTTTGGCTTAGATCAGAGTCTCAGTCATTCACCGCGCTGCCATGGCAACCCCCGTCTCCCCATCATGTGACCGCATAGATCCATGCTCAGGTAGTCATGGTTACTGTCTCTTTTGGTTCAGGGACTAAAGCCGCCGGCGTCTCAAAACCACCTCACGCACACCATAGCCTGAGAATAATTATGGATGTTTATGTCACGGAGGGGAATATTTCATTGGGTGCAACAAGGCGGGAGCGTCCGTGCTACAAGGGCGGGTTCAAAGGTCCCACAGACCTGCCTCTTTGTTGCTAGGTAACTGTTAACGTTCGTCACGATCATTAGGCGGGATTCATAAATTAGAGTATTGACTTCAACGTGCTTGGATTGAACGGCTGACCCCTTTGGCTTTGTAGCTCTGTGTAATATCAATAATCAATAAAACTCCCAGATGTGTTTTGTTTTTATTTTTTTTCTACAGCACATTTGAATGCATTCTGTGTTGTCTCAAAAACAGTTTCTGCCGATACAGAGTCAGCCTCGTGAGTCATTCCTTCTGATCATAGTGCCCCTAGTGCTTCTACTGTACACAGACGCAACCCTTGTTAGATTGACGTTTTGGCTAGAATACAAAATTGGTGCCGGCGAAACACGGGAAAATGTGTCCTTCAAAAGATCATCCATTTCTCTAATTCAACTATTAGAAGCCAATATGGTGTAGACGTATTACATGCAAAGTGTCAAGCCCATAGACTGTATATTAGGAGAGGACTGAATGAAGTAAAATCTTTTTTATATAGCGCCTTTCACAGACCAGAGTCACAAAGGGTTTTATAATTGTGGGCATTTGTTTTTCACTCCACACAGATGGGAGTGAGGTCGTCATACAGGAGGTGCATGCCAGACCTATTGTACATGTTTTTAGTGGGAGGGGGAACCGGAGCACCCGGAGAAAACCTAAGCAGACACAGGGAGAACATACAAACTCCACGCAGAAAGGCCCTGTTCCGACCGGGATTCAAACCTTCCTGCTGAGAAGCGAGAGTGCTAACCACTCAGCCACTGTGTCGAATGTATTTAGCGAACTGGGGCCAATTTCCTTATATGGGCATTTGTTCTGACGGGGTTTGCTTCACCATTTAACAGGGGCAGGCGTATTGCTAAGGGGGATGCTAAGGCAAGCTGAAGTTTTTCCCGCTGATGAAGGCCTCTAAATTCAGCCATACAAAATATTGACCAATCAAAGACGATATAAAATGATCATAGAGGGCGCTAAACTAGACAATTATTAGATTTTTTTTATTTTTTATAAGCCACAAACTGTGAGTGTGACAAACAGTTGTATATAAGTCAATAGTAGCCAGAACTAGTGAGGAGCAAAACTTTGTCCTTGAGTACTTCTCTTTTGGGCTTCATAGAGCTAAGGAGTGAGCAATGTCCATCTTCAAACAGTCTATGGTCAAGTCTATGAAAATGGACAGAAAATCAAAAACAAACGTATTGAAATCTTCTGAGATGTTTTCATTTCTTATAAACTTTACCAACATTATAAAAAAGTCGCAATATCCATCTTTGCGTGTAACAAGTTGGTCACGTTGTCTCACATTGACCAGTCTCACCAAGTTGAATTACTGAAGTGAAAAGGCTTTTGAGCGATATTATAATTTCTGTTTTTCACCCGAACACTGTTTGCTTGGATTGTAGTTTAGCCTTTCTCCCGTAGTAAGTCTCCTCGTTCCACCTTTGGGTTTCACAAAGCAATTTCATCTTTTTTTGTTTTTCGAATGTGATCTTGTGCGTTGTCTGTAATTTGAAGCTGGCAGGAATCAGACGCTGCTGCAGGTAAATAACACTCCGTAATGGGATTCCCTTTTTTTTTTTTTTTCTCCCCCTCCTTGTAATTTAAGTACTTCTCACAGTATGCATTTACAGAATATTGAATCTTGAAAGTATGGAATTTTGAAACACTGTTCTCCAGACCTTGAAAAGTCTTGAATTTTGTGTGAAAGCCTTAATTATGTATGGGAAAAAATGTAAGGTAGAATTTTACAGTGTGCTCAAAAACGTTGTGAAATGAGAAATGGGCAGGTAGGCTATAAAACTATACTGGTCTCGTACTGTATTATCCTGAATAATATCCAATCAACACTTGCTTAGCCTCGTCTGGCACATGTTTGTGATGTCACTGCTGAGGTCTATTGACACAAAGCTAGCCTAGGGTTCAACAGAAATGGGTCGTTGCGTTTTTTCAAATTTATGGTCTTTTCGGTTTTAAGGTCTTGGGGGGGAAAAAAATATCAGTTTTGAAAAAGTCTGGAATTTTAATTTGGAAAAAGAGCAAGCACCCTGAATGGACTCGTTACAGGCAAAGTGACACAATTATTTTTTTCAAGCTGTTTGCAAATTATCCAAATCAAAACCCATAGAGGCTTGATTCCTCCCTTGCCGTAGAATGAGGGTCATATTTTAGTTTCACGTTCTCATTTGAATCACGGAAATGAATTACTGTTTATTACAATGTGTCGGTTTTTCAAGATGATCTTATTTTCACCTGTACGTTTTCGAAATGGGAATCTTGCCCGAGTTTGATTTTTAGAAAGTGAGGTTGTTTATCGTCTACCACCGCCTCCACAGGGATGTCCGAGTCGGAGCAGGCCCTTAAGGGGACGTCACAAATCAAGATTCTTTGTGCAGAGGACATTGAAGCCATGAGAGTAGTGTCCACGGTAAAAAAGGAAAAAAATACAAGTTTAAATTGTAACTACATGAGCCTTTTTATTCAATACATATGATTTTGTTTTGACAGCTGGCCAGAGAGGTTTTAGATATTGCAGCGCTGATGGTGAAGCCTGGTGTTACCACAGAAGAAATCGATCACACCGTCCATCTGGTATGAACATGCAGTAACACATACTCATTTATGCACTAATATTGAATCCCAAATGAGTTACCCACAATCCTTGGGCTCAATAAACCATCACTCCTTATTTAATTAAAGAAAATGTCAGTTCCTTTTCAAACTGAGCAGCAGCGAAACTGTTTTGAGGAGTGAGAAATTCTAACCCCCCCCTGCAGCTTCCTGATTGGTCAAAATTGATTCAAATCCTTGAGGCCCCTTAACTGTTCTTCTCCAGAAAATCTTACTGCTGGTAGTTATGCTAATGAATGGGAAAGACCGTTTAAGATGTATTTTTGAAATTTACTTTCTGTACATGAGAGTGGTGTCCCTCGGTCAAATCCCCATTATATAAGACACTGTATTGATCTCACACTGGAGAAATTTACATGTCATGGGTAGACTCACTCAGATTGTGCAAAAGACAGAAGTGTGCAAAAATATTGTCTGTGCAGGATATTATTATGTACAATAAAAAATGGGGGCAATCCAGGAGTGGCTATAGCAGTGCCGTGTTTTTCAGTCCCAGTGGATTAGTGACTAAAAGTGACTTGATGTTGGAGACTGCTTCAAACCAGGACCACCATGTCTCTGCAGTCGTACCGTTTTCTCTGCTTATCTTGTGTCTCATTTTCACAGGCGTGTATAGCAAGGAACTGCTACCCCTCCCCTCTTAATTATTACAACTTTCCAAAGTCCTGTTGCACATCAGTCAATGAAGTAATCTGCCATGGCATCCCGGACAGAAGACCGCTCCAAGAAGGAGATATCCTCAATGGTAAGTTGCTCTGTTCTATGCCACGCAATAGATGGATAGATACTTGATTGATCCCCCAAAGGTGAAATTCAGGTGTCCAGTAACAGAAAGGCATCCGTCCACACAAACAAAACAAATACATAGAACAATAAGAGTAGCTAATAGTATTAAAATGCAACAGCACTTTAGGTCACAGCAGCAGAGGTAATGGAGCCGCTATATATTCTATTTCATGATTATATGAAAAATATTATCCATAAAAATGATGACGGTACTATAGGGCATTAAGATGATACCCTACAATTTTATTCCATTTAATTTTGTGAAATGGCAATAATTATTTCAACTCATTTATTTATTCTCGGTTTTATTCTGTTTCCAGTTCTGTCTTTTAAAGGAATCCACATTTAATATTCAGGCTTGTCAAAATAATTTCGATTGTACATGGGTCAGGTTTTAATTGAATAAGTGGCTTTCATGGCAGTACAGTACTACATTTTGCGCTATAGTTTTTTTTTTTTGCTGTTTTTGCTTTATTTTTATTTTTTTTCAATATTTTAGTGAAGCGATATATGTCAACCATGAAAATGCGCTGTCTACTTGCTTGTGATTAATGGAGTGTCTCTCAAACCACTGCAGCACAAACAACAGTTGCAGCTTTCTCTTTAATGTACCGTCGCTGCTCCCTTGCATCCTGAAACGGCACCAGCGGGAGTTCATCCATTCTGTCTCGCTCGTGCATATTCCTCATAATATTTCTACTCAGACGAGGTTTTGCGCCTGCCAGTCCCCCCAGAGGCTCTGATGGAAGACTTTGCCAGCAACTCATCCCTCGCTGCGTGGATCGACAAGACAAATACTTTCATTAACCTTTTAGCAACGGTAGCGGCCCTCGTCACATAATTCCCGTTTACCAGCACATTTCCAAGGCAAAGGTTTTTTTTGTTGTCTTTTAGCCCCATCGTGGATACGTGTCTGCAGATCAAGCAGTTGAAACGACGTGACTATAATTGTTCCCAAATGTCTTTCAGTGGACATCACGGTGTACCACAACGGTTTCCATGGTGACCTGAATGAGACCTTCTACGTGGGCGAGGTGGACGAAGGGGCAAAGAGGCTGGTTCAGACCACCTATGAATGTCTAATGCAAGCCATCGACTCCGGTAGGTATTCAGTTCACCGACCCTTACCACACATACACATTTGGAAGCACAAAGGACAGTGGAGGACATGGCTTCCATCAGGTCGATCATAAAGTGTTGTTGCGGCCAATTTAGTTACCCATTGTCCTATTTTTTTGGGGCTAATTATAAATTTAATTAGTACTATTATTGCTGTATTAATTTACCGCTGGTGTAGGAGTTTTTTGTTTAGATGCACTGCCTTAAATGTCCAGTTGGGGGCGCACCTCGGGGTGGAGTTAGCCTGGGGTAATGGGGAAACATTTTGATTTAGTATGTCGTACTTGGATACATCTTGCGGACAACTGTGGAACTGATAAATGGGCTCACACTAAAGGGTACGAAAGTGTGACAGAAGGCCAAACATTTTATTTGAATAATCAGAAGATATATTCATTTTTTTAATTAATCCAAATACCTCCTCAGTCCATTAGTATAACTAGAAGGGAACTAGTTAGAGGATTAGTCACGTTTCCTATCGTGGCTCTGTTTATTTTCGTCACGGACCTGATCCTTTGACGGAATGAGCCAAGGAAGTTTGTTTAAAAAAAAAAAAAAGATAAAAAAAAAAAGTGATTTTGTTTAAGTGTAGAAAAACCAATTCAATGTAATACTTTGGTTTTTTTTAAACTTAAACTTTTTTAAGTAAGTTTTTCCGTTTTGAATTTTTTCAAAACTATTGTTTTTGTACAATAGTCACTGAATTAACAAAGAACAAAATGTGCTTTTTTTCCCCAAAATGTTCTAATTTGATTACATTAAAACTTCATTTCTAGTTATATTAATTCATTCAGGGTGTTGTGTACATTGTGTCGGGGACGGGATTTATTTGATCAATGCAGGAAATTTGAGCATAGTGTGTGTGATTACCAAATTTTTTGCAGTGATAATTAATAGAAAAAAACAATATGGCTAAAATGTGCATTTTTGTACGTAAAACATCTAATGCAAATTAGGGATGTAAATTGGTGACCGTTTAACCGGTGGTTGACCGTCACAGCGTTAACCGGTCAAAGCTGTCGGTTAAAAAAGAGAAAAAGGGGAGAGGGGAGGTCTCTTCATAACGCTATTTTAAGCCCTATTTGCACGATGTGACAAGCGGGTCCCTATCTAGCTGTGTGCGCCAATGTAACAGTAAACTCCGGGCCGACTCTCACGCCGCACGCGCCACATATGCATGCACACAGACGCGCGCGCACAGAAACACACGCACACACTTTCCTCCCCCTCCATTGATATGTAACATCCACACGCATCATCTCTCCCCTCTGTTACCGCCTGCTAGTTGCACACTGGTGCAGGTCAGAACTACATTGGAGCTTATATTTACACACACATACATACACACACATACATACATACATACACACATACAGACACACATGTATTGTACACACGCACATACCGGTCTGTCGCGCTCCTCTGTGTTACGCAGCCCAAAGGACCCTCGCAAATACACGGCTTCAGTCAAACCTCATGAAACATGTTTGTGTCTATGGTCCTTGGCATTGGATCAGCTCCACACACTGCACTTTTAAACTTTAGAGAACTGCGAGACGCGGCTCGTCACTCGCTGCTCTGACCATGTGGAAGAGCTGTCTTTTGCTTAAAAATGCTTTAACCCGCAGCTCAGCAGAATGGGAAGATTAACACAGCAGTTCTCTGTGCGCAAAAAGTTGCCGAAGTTGTTGCGGGTTTTGGCACCGCTGTCTCAGCTCTGACCCAGTAGAACGCAGAGCTGCTCTTATGGAAAGTACGCGGCTCGAAATGGCTGTTTTTTCAAAGAACGTGGACTATTTTAAACTATGCGGTTAACCGGTTTCAACCGGTTAATGAGGCTCGGTGGTCGGTCATGAAAATTCATAGTTTTTTACATCCCTAATGCTAATATTATCTGTGTCATGTTTCCTCAGTAAAGCCTGGAATCCGCTACAGAGAGCTGGGTAACATCATCCAGAAGCACGCTCAGGCCAACGGCTTCTCTGTGGTGCGCAGCTACTGTGGCCACGGCATCCATAGATTGTTCCACACTGCTCCCAACGTGCCACACTACGCCAGTAAGCCCCGTCACTGCACTACAAGCTGCTGAGTCTCATACATAATCATCTGTTTCCCTTTTTCAAGAAAACAAAGCAGTTGGAGTGATGAAGCCGGGGCACGTGTTCACCATCGAGCCTATGATCTGTGAAGGTGAGTCATATGTCTGTGGATCTGCTTTGGGCTACTCAAAATCCACTCAAATCACTTTACCTATAGAGTTAACGCCACAAACTAGCATTTCAGTACAGTTTTTAACATTTCAGTTGTTAAATACTGTATATTTGTATATTTTTGATAAGGGCCTAGTCCAACTTTGTCCATACATGTACTATTTGGGGTTTTTACAGGCTCTAAGCCAATTATCAACATTGTTATAATTAGAATATGTAGAAGGCATTGCTTGTTGGGAAATAGTCAAAGTATGAAAGTAACTCCTGTAATCAACCTTTTTAAAATAAGATATTCCTTTATTCATCCCACAGTGGGGAAATTTGTGTCAACATTACAGCAGAGAAGGAAGGAAATGAGAGTACTCAGATTGTAAACATCAAACTGAGTCTATTATTTAAGATGATTGACAATAGATTAAAAATACAATGGTAAAATGGAATAGAACGAACTTGCTCCAGAGTTTTACCTTGAACCTGTGCCATTTCCGCGTGAACGATACGCGATTGGCCTGACCCCCTCTGGCCCTTCTCGTCCCAGGCGGCTGGCAAGACGAGACCTGGCCCGACGGCTGGACGGCGGTGACCCGGGACGGCAAGCGCTCGGCCCAGTTCGAGCACACCCTGCTGGTGACGGAGACGGGCTGCGAGATCCTCACCCGGCGCATGGAGGACAACGGCCGCGCCCACTTCCTCAACCAGATGTAACCCGCACGGTAGACTGCGGGCGGACTCCCAAGGACGCGCCCAACCCCCGGCACCCACAGCACACGCAACTCCTAAAGCTCAGTGTAGCGAGCTCGTCTGTTCAAAAACATCACCGTTCAGTGGCGACACGGTTCACAGTTTGTGGAAGTGTCTTTTTATCCAACCTGTGTGTTCGCGAGAGCTGCATTCACCCGACAGAAGTAAGGAAGTATTTATGTTCTCAAGCTTGGCGTTTGGAGCCGGTTTCACTCCCCTCCCTCTCATGCCAAGATAGTGCTTTTGAAGAGCTCAGGGCATGAATATCACATGCTACGTTTTTATGATTTTATTTTATTTTTGTCTCCGCAGCCGTTGCCTATCTCTCGTCAGTACCGTACATGTGCATACTAGCACAATTACGACATGTTCTTTGTTTAATACTATATTGTGGTGCCTGTAAAATAAGGCGGGTTTAAATGGTTGCCTTGCCTGTAGTGCGATTTCAAGTTGGACCTAAATTGTCAAACTATAGTGTGAATTTGTCGTAGTGCTATCGGACACAGAATACCTTGGAAAAGATCACAATACATCCACGCAATACGCACACACTTATCACTCCACCACATTATAGCACCATGTAAGTAAAAAAAAACACCCACATAGCAACTACCAGATTACCATTTGCCAGATTTTAATCAAAGATTGTGTAGATTAAGTGCCAGCATTGACTAGCAAGCTTTCAAACTGCTTTTTTTATGACTCAAGTCTATGGTAAATGTATTTCCAGAACCTTTGCAGTGGGTGATTACCGGTTCTGTTCTGATTCTGGAGCTCAAACTCCTGTATGAACATTAAACTCGGCCCTCTTCACTGGAGCGTGTTGTTGCCAATAGCCCTGATCTAAAGCCTTAATAAAAAGCTAGTGTTTAAAAAAAGTCACTGTCCCCTTTTGAAGTGGGGGGAGGAGTCCTGGTGTGGCGTTTCTTTTATGTTCGGAGGAATAACGTGGTCTTGTCGCTTTACCATATTTGTATTTCCTTAAATGAGTAATAAACGGCTCTTCTGTAGATTTGTGACTTTGTTCTTGACTAAACCTAAAAACTGTTTTCCAAAATTGTGTCCATGCCAGTTCAAAATCAATGCCCTAGAAAAATATTTGCGGAGGGCAGCTCTGGGATAGATTTTTTTTTTAAGAGATGTTGATAAAAGAAAGGTTCAAATGATTTCCCAGATTATTATTTGAAAGTGATTTACATGCTGTAATCTCACTTCTTGCCGGTGGGGGTGTACCTGGAAAGAGAATTACCCGATGCATTTGATGCATTTGTAAGGCGTCGTCTTTCCTCGAAAACGTCTTCACAGGAGGGTCCAAAAGTCTCTCTTGGCCCAATGCTTTGGCCCATAAAACAACACTCCCCTCAGCATCAACAGCATCTGGAACAGTCTAGTTTAGCCGCTGTGGACTTCATTTAAGGAGTGCATTCTGAATAGGGCTCCTACCGGCTAAGGTTTTTGCAAATGCGTTTTTTCACATTTTCCTGCCCAAAAGGGCCGCCGGGCATTTCAAAAGGCAAAAGTGGTGGCACATTAGTTTCAACGGTGGTGATAGGCGTGACTACATCTGTTAATATTTACAATCTATGATTTTCAACTGGACTTTACCACAGTTTTGAAGTACAGACTCTTTGGTAATAATAGTTTACCTTCATATGCCATCACAACATTCCAACGTGTCTTTCCGAGAGTTTCCAGATTATTAGCTACAGAGGAAATGTATGGCTGAGCTGTTAACCATAATTAACAGTGAGTGCAGGTGAAGAGAAAATTAAGGCAAACAAATTATATTAACAATCTTCCGTATTTGCTCATTTAAGGAAGAGTGAGACACATAGGACGCCAATCTTGACGTACAGCATAGATCAGCAAAATCCTGACCTACTTCTACTTTTTTGTATGATTTTTAAGGTATTTGTATTATCCTTTTATGCCACATGGCCCAATGTGCGCAGAGTCTATTGTGTTCATTCTTCATTATAAATACTGACATTTGATTAGCAACTGTGCACTCTCGTAACAGGCTTTTTTGCATTAAGGACTATAAAAATCAAGAAATACAAGCATAGCAAAAATAAATACACAAAGCAGGGACAAACGAAGACACAAAAGAAAATAAGATTTGTTCACATTCACACAAAAACTAAAAATGTCCAACAATCAGAATTTATTTATTGACAGGCTTCCGTTTTTTTCTACATAGTAGAAAATAGTTTGAGTCCCTTGTATTGAAAAAAGGCAAAAGCTTCACACAAACTGTTTCTGGCTTTTCATTATCAGCCTTAATGATGACAGAATTTCTTAACTAGACTTCAGATGCATTGTCTGAGATTATTTTTATATTTCTGTTGGGTTATTTATGACCCCTCCTCCCTATAAAAAACATATTGTTCACTCCCAATCAAAGCATATCTCTAAATCACCTTGTTGTGGTCTGGCTGTTTCTTCCTGTTTCCATCTTCAGAGAAAAGTGTCATGAAAAAGGTGTGTGTCTATCCACAAAGACAAACTGCTTTGAGACGGAATTGAATGGATTATTTAATAAAATGGGTAAACTCTGAGAGATTGTGGCTCAGAACCGAAGGACGACTCGAATGCTGAAAGAAAATAGGAGGCCATTACTTTCATTTAAACCATACTTGAGGAAAACCTGGTCCCTGTTGAGCAAAATTATACAACTCCTCGATCTCATTGTCCTCTGCAGAGGGCGGCAAGCTGCATCACAGATTTTTTAGACTATCCTTGGGGAGACTGGCAACTTGCATACATATTAACATAACAAACAAGTTTTAGATTGAATGTCTTACCATTTGCCTGCGTGCATGAGATCAAATCCCTCTGTAATCTTCTCGAAGGGCAGCGTGTCACTAACAAACTCATCCACTTTGAGCTTTTTCTGCATATAGGCTTCCACCAGTTTGGGAACGCTGTCCACGCTCTTGAATCCTTATCAGACAAAAGAGTCAGTGTTTCAAGCAGGAGCCACTATTTATAAAGAGTATATTTATCATGAGTCAAATTTCGCTTTACACTAAAGTCAGCCTAAAGAAATTTGATTTTTTTCATTCATTTTGACCAAAGAATTTCCTTTATTCAACATTAGTTTGGATGTTCTTGTCTGGTATTTTTTCTGAACAAAATTAGTTTTGTTTAGGTTGAACCAAAACTGACCAAAGATGAATAGTTAATGGTCTACAACAGGGGTCTCCACCAGTAGCTCACCACCCCCTTCCAAGTAGCTCGCCAAGGAATTTAGAAATAATCAAATCAAATAATTGACTTAATATTTCAGATTGTATTATTCATTATCATTATTTATCTATTTTTCCCAGGGACGCTTTAAGAAGAAGCTCTCCGCCTTTTTCGTCCCGGGAAAGTAGCTCTCCCGACACCCGGTCTACAATAACAACTATTTTTGTATTTAACTTAACTTTGCTAAATATGTTCAATGCTTAGAATAAAACACATGATATAGTTGTTTTCTTAGCTGTGAAATTAGCTTTGAAGGGGTATAACATGCCATGGTTATGCAGAACGTCTTACCAGCAATGCTTGCAATTTAAAAAATATAATTGAGTATCCTTTAGGGAGTTTAAAGGGTTTTCTTAATTGTTATTCAGAAGTTCTTCCTACCTCCAAAGGCTGTTCCTTTCCACGTTCGCCCAGTCACCAGCTGAAAAGGGCGTGTGGAGATCTCTTGTCCAGCTGCTGCCACTCCGATGATGACGCTTGTACCCCAGCCTTTGTGACAGGCTTCGAGTGCTGCTCTCTGGGATTGAAAGACCACCACAAAACTCAAATTCTTACAACTCCTGCAAGAGAATGTCGTTAAGAGACCGCTTACCATAATGCTCACATTCCCCACACATTCAAAGGAGTAGTCCACGCCTCCATCGGTCATCTCCACCAGCACTTCCTGGATGGGCTTGCTGTGGTCTTTGGGATTCACTACATCAGTGGCACCAAACTCCTTAGCGACTTTAAACTTGTCAGAATTGATGTCTACTCCAATGATCCTGCTAGCACCTGCTGTTTTACAACCCATTATAGCAGCAAGGCCCAGTGCTCCTAGACCAAACACAGCACATGTAGACCCGTGTTCCACCTGCAAGGCAAAGAGAAGGAGACAGTCTGCTTTACTCAACACTTGTTATAAGAATTACAGAGCTTCATATAAAAACATGTGTTAACGAGAGCTCACACCAGGGGTCCCCGAACTTTCTCCATCAGAGAGATACAACAGAAATAGCTGTGCAGTCATAATAGAATGGTAGTCTATGTAAAAACTATAGCAAACCGTGGAGAAAAAGTCAAATATACCATAATATTTTATAACCCATAGAGGACGTAATGAAAATATATATTCATGTCTCAAAGCTGAAACAATCAGCATCATGGTTAATTTCCAAATTCAAAGGGAGTGATGAGCTACTGGTTGGAGACCCCTGGTTCACATGGATTAGAAAGAAGTTAAGTTTAGTGCCCTACAATGAAAATATTGAAATTCTGGCTCTGGTACCAAGCCCATATTTTACTAATGGTGGTTGAGAGTGACTTTTCATTTCCATCTCTGTTTGAAATCACATACAGTAGATTGAACGTTAACCGAGAGTGATCATAGAAACAAATACTGACTGACTTTGGCCGTGTTGAGAGCTGCTCCGTAGCCGGTGGTGATGCCACAGCCCAGCAGACACACTCTGTCCAGCGGAGCCTTGGGGTCCACTTTGGCCAGAGAGATGTCAGCCACCACAGTGTACTCAGAGAATGTGCTGCAGCCCATGAAGTGGAAGAGACTTTTGCCTTTACAGGAGAAACGAGAGGTACCATCGGGCATGACGCCTCGGCCCTGAGTCAGTCTGGGAACCAAAGCACAGCAGGTGAGAAGGCAAGTGACCAGAGCGTATTCTCCAATTCACCAACATGTTTTTAATCATGTTTTAATGCTTTCACTGAGAGGGAAACATGTTGTATAACACTGTTTATACAAAAGGCAAATCAAAATGCCTCAAGAAACACTTTAAAATCATACACAGGTGAAAGAAAAATAATAACAGTGCATTAGAAAGTGATCAAAGGTATAAAGGAGGATGTTCCCAAATTTTAGGAAAGAACCACCCCCTCTCCACGTTTTGAACAAATCTCTTATTGGACAAGCATTCCCAACTGTCATCATCACCAGAATGATTGACAGTTGGGAAGACCAATAGTCTTGATCCAACCAGAAGTTGAAAATCCTCATATATACCTTTTAGGATACAATCCTTGTGTTGTATTCACAGCTAAACATTTTTTTTTAAATCTAAACACCAAGTAAAAGGGTAATAGTTGAAAAAAAATGAAATTAAATGAAAAATTTAGTTACAGAGCCCTCTTCCTCTGGCACAACCACCCTCCCTGCCATCCTCTGAGATGTGCTGCCGCAGGTTTTACCCAAAACTACCAGTATTTTGTATCCATGTATAATTTTCCTTTAAGTTTTGGAAAAAGAAACCCAAGACAAATATTAAGATCAATAATATGGGAAATGGAACAATAAATAGAAAAAAACCCACATACAAAAAAAGTTAAAGCTTTAGAACAAATCCACAGAAATATGCAGTATGTATTTAAGGGATTTCTGTTACCTAATCTTTTGGCACAAGTTGGTTTTGGGGTTGATACAAAACTTGCATTCACCGCATTGAGGCACGTACAGAGGTATAACAGTGTCACCTGCAACAAGACTGTGATGTCATTGTTAACGGGACTTCACACTCCGTATAGGAAACTTATACTAACCTGGCTGAAACTTGGTGACCCCCTCTCCCACACTCTCCACGGTGCCTGCCCCCTCATGTCCCAGGACCACAGGGAACACCCCCTCGGGGTCCGAGCCGCTCAGGGTGTAAGAGTCCGTGTGGCAGATGCCTGTAGCCAGCACCTGATCAAACACATCAACCCAAGACCTCACATTTACACACACTACTTTATAACCATTAACCACAAATGTGAAAAGTGTGTAGCCCTTCGTCGCAACTCACTAAACCCACCGAGAAAACATGTAGCTATGGACAACGGTAAAACAATACTCTAAAAAGACAATATGTTGCACCTAACCTAATGTTTTTCATTACCGTACATACTGTATCTCCGAGCTTAATGTCTCTGTACATTGTCCCTTCAAATTAAAACTACACTAAATTTCATAATTGATAGTTGTACCTTGTTTTGTGCAGGTTTTGAAATAAATAATCTGTTATTATTCTCTGGCTTTTAACACCGCATGAATCGTGTGGTCCTTTGTGTGTATTTGATTTGTATATAGAGTGTATGTAATGTGTGTGTGTGTTTTATTTGTTGCCATTTTTGCTTGTTGTCCAGCACTTTGGAAACTGTTTATGAAATGTGCTATACACATAAAGTGGATTGGATATGTTATTTATCAATCAATCCAATTTTATTTGTTGAGCCTTTCCTACAGGCAACACAGCACTCTATATACATTAAAAATTAACAAACAATGAAATCACAAGAAACATTAAAAACAGAATAAAATCACCTATATAAACAGCTTTAGTGCATTAAAAAAAGATTAAAGCTGAAATCCTTCAGTTATAGGCACAGCTAAATGTTTTAACATAGATTAGAAAACTACCAGAGCAGACACCTGCCTCACATTTTCAGGAAGATTTTAGCTGCATAGATCTGAAATGCAACATGTCACGGATGAGATTGATAAAAGCAAGATATAGGACCCTGCTTCACATATAAGTTGGATATTATCAGTTGTTGATAAGGTGCAAAGGTCACTCCACTGAAAAAGACAATGGGACTATTAAGCCTATAAAATAGAAACGTCATTAATGAACAATAAAGTCAGTTTTGTAGTTTGTGACTTGAAGAAAACACAGACTTCAGCTTTACCTTTAAGCGCACCTCCCCAGCTTTAGGGGGTAACACGTGGATCTCCTCTAGGACCAGAGGTTTCCCTGCCTCCCAGGCCACTGCAGCCCGACATGTGATCACCTGCAACAGTCAAGAGTTAAAGAAAGATCTGGAACTACTAACACTATGAAGCGGATGTGCCATTCAAGTACTTGTTTTAACCTCTTTTCTATTAAATCACTGTAAAGAGTACAGCAGCGACACATTATTGAAACTTTGGTCCAGATGAGGCCCAGTAGTTTGTAATAATTATCAGAGAAGATCAATCTACAGATGTTCTCCCACATTTTCTTTGGCAAATATAAAGGAGGGTAAAACTGGTGTTTGGGGGTACAACTGTTGGTGGCAATTCCCCTCTAACAGCTGAGACAATGTTAAAAGAAAATTAAATGTAAGGCAAGGCAAGTTTATTTATATAGCACAATTCATACACAAGGCAATTCAAAGTGCTGAACAAAACAAGAAAGCATTAAAATCATAAATAATCACAGAACATTAAAGAGAGAGATACAAATATAAAATCCCTCAGTTGTATGCACAGCTAAACAGAACTGTCTTTAACCTGGTTTTAAATATTGTCAGAGAGGAGGCCTGTCTCACATGTATGGCCCTTAATAAAGCAAACAGATCTGGAACAATCCCTATTAAATTATTTAATATTTTGGACAATTGTGTTTGTAAGTTCGGAGTTCACATTGGTCCATTCATCCCAGAATGTTCGATATGGCTCAGAATAAAATGTATCCACATTTGTTAGACAATAGACATAATTTGTATGTCCCGTAGAAGATTATGGTGGATTATGGAGACTTGGGGATACTGTATGAGAGTTACAGTAGCAGTGATCACTACAAACATCAATGAGAAACATAACAAAAGTATTGTTTTTTTTTTTCCTGCTTCGTCATTTGTCATTTATATTGTCATTTTTCTGTAAACAACCAGCAAGAAACTGTGATGGAACCAAAACCTAATGTTAAGACACCATTAATGAAACTGTGACATGGTTATGTAACCTCAGACACGGTAAGAGTTCTTTCTGCTCAGCTTCAGAGTGTGCAAAGAGTTACTTCTAATAAAAACACAGACTGTTTGTTCTTGTTCAATGACATGTTACAGTCACAAACAGAGCGTGTGCTTACCTTTCCGTTGGTCTCCATGTTTGTCAGCACAAAGCAAGGCACACACGATGAGGTAACAGAGTCAAGCTTATCATTCTTTCAACCAATCCCAAAGCAAGCAGCGTTTACATCCACGTGTGGGTTGTCCAAACAGAGCTGACCCTTAGCACAGCCTTCAGACCACTCCTTTCCGGCTTTATATTGTACAAAAAACCTCTGTGTGTGTGAGTATAAAGGGAGTCAGCTGGATAAATTGTCACATATTCGACAGTAGAAAAGAGGAGGAACATTTTATTAAACAAAATACAGGATGAATGGCAATGATCTTCTAAAATAGCAGTTAAGTTAAGACATTAATCACTGGGGAATTGGGATGGGACTAAAAAAGGATCTACTTCCCACTCCCTTTCAGGCAGAATTAGGTAATCATGCCCACAAGCAGTTTATACAATATATTGACTTTTTCTTCTTGATCTTTTACAATATACGTATAACTTGACTGTATTTGTCCACCTGCACTAATCTGTACCATTGCCTGAATTGAAAAACAAAAATGAAAATATGGATCTATTGTGATGAGGTCTTCAGAACCGCCCGGACACTGTGGAGCAAACACAAAGCATAAGCATTGTAATAATAGTTATCCATGCTTTTATTGTGATTTACAAAGTGCAAAATGTTTGTGGATACGTGGCGGTACGAAATTTAAACCAGCAGTTGGGTCAATCTAAAATGGTAAGATATAATTGTCTCATATATTACAAAATGTGTGAGAAATTATCCAATATTAGTTTAGTTTCATTTAGTTTAATGTGCAGTGGCATTAAACAGATGCAACTGATTTAGCACCAGCTTCTTTCCACCTGTTGTCCTTCACAACACAATCATATAACTTGTTAACAAACAGTTCAAATATAAAGTGCAGGTTACTAAAAAAACACGGGGGAAAAAACACTTGCACTTCTATTGATCTGTGCAATTTTTATTTATGCTTTTAACTCTATACCCTCAGTAAGGCGACCTTGAGTGCCTATGGGCGCCATATAGATAAAATGTGTTATTATTATTAGTTCAATAGAAGTACAAGTTACTAAAATACATAAATACAGTTCAATAGAAGTGGAAGTTATTCAAATACATATTAAGATAGAGTTCAATACAAAGTGTAAGCCACCAACATATATCTTCAAATACAGTCCAATAAGGTCCAATAGTGAGTTACAGTTGGCAGCGATATATAAAGTGTGGCACAATTTTCAAACTACTAAAGAACAATGGCTATCTGACAATTATCCGCCATTACACCCAACAACGGTGCAGTATCTGAAGTACTACATCCTGGAGTAAACTCACTCACCATTGAGCCTTCTTCATGAGTTCCACAGCCTCCATGATCTGACCCAGGTCCATGTTGTGGGTAATAAACTCATCCACCATCAGCTTCTTGTCCATGTATCGCTGGACCATGTCAGTCACCCCGTCCTTACTCTTAAATCCTGACAAAATACGATCAAACATTGGTGCTATTCCTCACAGTCACATGTCGGATTATAATAAATAAAGAGATAAATATTGTTGTACTACTACAGTTCAAGTATGTATCTGTATCTGGGACATAAAACATTATAGTTTGATAAGAGTCTGAAATACAGATATATATTTCATATCAACAATATATCAATACACTATGTACTTTTGACTCCAGAAATAATTCACAATAATGAGGCAACAACAACATTCATGTGACAAATATAATCCATTTTGGTGTGGCTTTAAGTGGTCACCTCCAAACAAAGACCCCTTCCATGTGCGTCCAGAGATGAGGTCCACAGGTCGAGCTGTGAAC